GAGGTAGACTGCATTATGAAGATAAAGATCGCGCCCTGCAAGATATGTGATTCAAATGAGCAGATAAACTCAAGATGAAGATGGAGGGTGAAGATTTGAAGATGAGAAGTGCATGGTTATCCCTTGAATAGCCATAATTTAATATTATAAAAAGCCTTGGATTAGAGGACGTCACTCTTTTGATAGACAAAGTCTAGTAGAGATAAAGAGTTCTTTAGAGGTTTTCCTAGGTAAGAACCAAGAGTAGAAAAGAGAGTGACCTTCAAGACACGAAGAGAGAGAGAGAGAATAGTTCCCGTATGACTCATTTGAGACACGTTCTCTTTTGAAGACCAGACTCGAAGGATAATAAGTCCTTGCTTATTTTTACAGGTATATGGGCTGATATGCCCTAACATTATCTTTTTCCTTTAATAGGTCTGTATTTTCTTCTTTAGAAACAAATATATAGGTTTCAAAGTCAGAATCAAAGGTGTTCGGCTTATTTTAATTCTTCAAGTAGATGTAAAATGTAACAGAGGATTAAACCTCTGAAATTGCTTAGTACCCAGTATAAATAATAAAGCTAGTGTTTATGATATGAAGAGCACAAGTGAATTTGGCCCCGAATGTGATGTCCTCTAGTTTTCTATCTGGAGTCTAATGTTTGTCTAAACATTCTGCATTTCTTAACGCATCCACATTTTGGAGAAACCTGTGCTCTCGGGGTGCATAAGTGTGAGTGTGGCAAATCAGCAGACGTGCATGTAAAAGAGTGTGTCAGTCAATCAAAAGGTGCTCAAGCAAAAGTGAACATGAGGTGCTTAATCGCACCGAGTGGGGTGAGCTTCGATATGACGAGTTGGTTTGAGGCACAATGAAAGTGAAGGGCTAGGCGCCCCAGCAATGAATGAGTGTCAGGCAATGTGTGCTTTTGATCAAAGAGAATCGAAGCGTGGTCCAAATGAAGAGTGTGACTTATGTCGACGCAGGCGTGCTTAGAGTCGAGTGTAACCCTACTTAAGACGCAAGATAGGTGGAGAGAAGAAGGTCCCTCAAAAACAGGGATGCCAAGGCAACATGAAAGAGAAGGAAAGCGATAAAACTACATTACTAACCAAAGGGAGACTATACGGGGTAATAAAATCCTGTTGCCAATGTCAATGTCGTCAAAGATCTAGGGTCTCGAATAGTCTCGAGTGAGAATCAGAGAACAAAATTATGGCGACACTGTGAATCTCGCTGAAGATAAGAGAGAGATATTTCAAAAAGGGGTTGAAGGTAAAAAGAAGCATTTAAGAAAACAAATTTAGAAAGAGAACAAGGGAGGAAAACCACAAATAAACAACTAAGCTAGGGAAAGAGAAATACATGGGGCTAAAGAATCTAACTACAAAGTGCAAGAAGAATAAGAAAGTAAAAAGCATGAAGACTACTAAGTCTAAGCTACTATCGACGCTAAACATGCATAACATAAAGTAGGAGAGAGAAAAGATTAAATAAATGAGATAGTGAATATGAAGGAGAAAGGAGAAGAGGTCCCTATCAATGATACAAAGAGTTATGAGTATAAGATGGGAATAAAAATAGTAGTATAACATAGAAATGATAAGAAGAAGATAAAAATGGTTAAGCTATTGAAAAAAATAAAGGGGAATACGCTAAATAACTACAGAATGAAGAAAAAAAACAGCGGAAGTGGAGATAGCCAAGATCTAGACTATAAGATAGAACAAGAGAGAGAGAGAGAGAGAGAGAGAGAGAGAGAGAGAGGAGGAGGAAGAAGAAGATATATAATTAAGTAAACAAAACAAACTAATAAAGAAAAGAAAAGAATAATCGTCGTAGAGAGAGTAGAGAAGAAGTAGAAGTACTACTAC